TCCTACAAAATTTGTGGTGGCTTGATAGTGATGCAATTGTTCATATTCTTGTTACCTTATAGGGATTCAAAAGCAAATGAAAGCTAAGTAAGAAAAATGCCAAACTAAGAGCTGAAAAAAATGTTGAAGTAAATGTTAGTTATATATGAACAATAAGTTTAAATTTAGAATCTTGTTTTGAACTTATTTTTCAAAATATTTTTCATGTACCATCTTTTAAGAGAAATTTGATTTCAATTTCTATTTTGGACAAACATGGTTACTATTTTGGCATAGAAAATGGAAAGGTTGACTTATTTTTAAATTCAAATATTGTTGGTGAATATAAACTATTGACAACTTATGTAAACTATGCTTGGCTTACAATAATGAATATAGTTGTATACTATAATGCCTACGACAATGTCTAAAAGTTTTACTAAAAAAAAAACTCTTATTTGTTGTGACGTAAAAGGTTGAGTCACATTTCTAATGAAAAAGTACAAAAATTGATAAAAGATGGTATTTTACCTTTTATTAATTTTGAAATTTTAGACATTTGTGCAGATTGCATAAAGAGAAAACTAACTAAGATTAAGGAAAAGGGCAATTCATAGTTCTAATCTTTTAGAAATTGTGCACATTGATATTAGTGGACTTCTTACATCTACCTTGTGTGGTAACAAATATTTTGATACTTTTATTAATCACTATTCTCGCTATAGGTATCTTTACCTGATTGATGAAAATTGAATTTTTTAAAAATTCAAAATTTTTAAAACTATGGTACAAAAACAATTAAAGAAAGTCATCAAAGTGGTTAGGCTTGACCGAGGTAATAAGTATTATGACAAACATGGTGAAAATGGACAACCCATGGGACCATTTTCCAAATACTTACAAAAGTGTGGGACTGTTGCCCAATATATTATGTTTTGTAATCTTGAGCAAATGGTGTAGCCCAAAGGCAAAATTGCACCTTTAATGAAAATTATGATGAGTAGATCAATCTTCTTGGATCTTTTCAAGGTGAAGCTATTAAAACTATATTGTACATACTCAATAGAATATTTAGTAAATTTATTTCTAAAACAAATTTTGAATCGTGGATTAGTAGGAAACCTAGTTTGAACCACTTTCGAGTTTAGAGATATTCTACAAAAGTCAGAATTTATAACCTTTTCAAAAGAAAAACTGAACCTAGGAGTACTCATTGCTATTTCATAAAGTATCTAGACTATTCTAAGGGATATAGGTTCTATTCTCCTACATATGGGACTAAAGTTGTAGAATCACAGGTGACAAAGTTTCTTAAGCTAGATATTGCTAACAAGGGTGTGACAAAAGTTGTTGATAACAATGAACCTATTAGACACTTCTCAATTCTTTTGCTTGCAACACAGTGCAATATTTTGCCAGTGACTATTAAGAAAGAAGATTAAAGGCACCCTCCTACCACTTATGTTACTTTTGTTGGTATACCTCTAGTTCAAGAAAATGATATTGAAAAGCCTTTGAAGAGATCTTTCAAGCAAAGAAAATCTATCATTTTTAATGATTATGTAATTTATCTTGGAGAGAGTGACTATGATATTAGTCATATTATTGATCCTATGACTTTTAGTGATGCTTTTAATAATTCGTTGTCTGATGTATGGATAGATGCAATGAAAAATGAAATTAGTTTTATGGCTTAAAATGGAGTTTAGAAGCTTGTTGAACTACTAAAAGGGTATACGCCCATTGGTTGTAAATGGGTGTATAAAACCAAAAAAGATTTTAAAAGAAAAATTGAGAGACTTAAAGCTAAACTAATGACAAAGGGACTTTTTCAGAAAGAAAGAATAGATTATAATGAAACTTTTCTTCGGTGCTTTCTAAGGATTCTTTTAGGATTATTATAGCCTTGGTATCACACTTTGACTTAGAACTCCATCAGATGGATGTGAGGACAACTTTTCTCAATGCTAATCTTAGAGAAGAGGTTTTATATGGTGTAACTTGAAGGATTTTAAGAATATGGAAAGAAACATTTAGTATGTCAACTTAAAAAATCAATCTATGGCCCTAAGCAAGCTTCTAGTTAGTGATATCTAAAATTTGATGAGATAGTTACTTTCTTAGATTTTGAGGAAAATAGATTGATCAATGCATACCTTAAAATCAATGGGAGTAAGATATCTTTCTTGTTTTATATGTAGATGATATCTTACTAGTTTGCAATGATATTAGTTTGTTGCATAAAAATAAACAATTAACCAAGACTTTTAACACGAAAGATCTTATGGATGCCTCTTTTGTTCTTGGAATTGAAATTTATAAAGATAAGTCTTAAAATTTGTTGGGATTATTGCAAAGATCTCACATTGATCGTATGAATAGTGTATTTAACAGGTAGAACTATAATGCTAGGGATACACCTATTATAAAAGGTGATAGCCTTAATCTATGTTAGTGCCCAAAGAAAATACTAATAAAGAACATTCATATACTAGTGTAATTGGGAATCTTATGTATGCTCAAGTTTGCACTAGGTTAGATATTATTTTGCAATAAGAGTTCTTGAAAGATATCTTTCTAGTCTTGGTATGGATAATTAGGTTACTGCTAAAAAATGGTAAGGTACTTGCAAAAGACCAAAGACAATATGTTGGTATACGAGAAGGTGAAAAAAATCTTAAGATAGTAAGGTATACAAATTCTAACTTCGTTGGTTGTCAAGATAACAAAAGTTCCACCTTAGAGTATGCTTTTATGTTGGCTGCAGAGTATGTCTTGGAAAAGTGTGAAACAAACATTCTTTGTTTCTTCCTCCAAGCAAGCTGAGTTTGTTACATGCTATAAAGCTGCTACACAAGCAATAGGCTTCCATATTGTTGATTCCATCTCTAGACCAATGAAGAGTATTGTGACAATAGGTTTGCCATGTCTTTAAAAACAATGAAAGCACTAGTGGGTCTAAATATTTAGAGATAAAATATCTTACAGTTAGGGATTTTATGAAAAATGGTGAGATTTTTGTCAAATACATTGAGATTGACAACATGATTGTTAATCCTTTAACTAAGGGATTAAGATTTATAGTGTTTGGTAAACATGTTGAAAGCATGGGTATTTAGGGTCTTTTGATGTAATTCTTTAATGGGAGTATATCATTTGTATTTCATACTCACACATCATGGTTTACTTTTATGTTGGACTTTTTTTTTTTTGTATTTGGAATATCTATGATATTTGATTTCATGCTTGAATGATGATTATCGTTGGTGACATTTTATGTTGTTATTGAATTTTATTAGTACATGTAAACTTGGAAAATTAAAATTTGTTATATGTATTGTGAAATCTTAAGACTTTGTGTCAATCTTAAGTATGACAGTTTTGTCACTTAGGTATGTGTCATAAATGACACCATTTAGGAACCTCCAAGATATGGAGGAGACATATAGGTACATTTGGATGTTATGGAGATTTCTAAGCAAATTTAAAAAAATTGGCAAGAGGACTGACAATGAGAATAACATATTGAGATCATATTTGGGTGTTATTTTCTTGATACACAACCACATTAAGATCCATTGTCGATAGAGTCACTGGTATTTATAATTATGGATTAGTCTTATGTCAATAAAGGCTATAAAAGCTGCTCTGATTCGGTATTAGATAATTTTATTGAACAAAATCATTAAGATATTATCATAAAGGACTAAATTATTTTTTTAAAATTACGGTCACATCAAAATAAAGTAAATTAACTTAGAGTCTTATTTTCTAAATTATGTTTTATTAAAATCAAGCAACCCAATCAATACTACCCAAGTGAGAGAATGTTAGAATTTTTCATAAGTGAATTACTATTAATTAATGATTTTAATAATTTAATAAAACTAACTGATAAGTTTAGTCTTAACACGAAACAACCATGATAGCTCAAATAATTTAAAATGATTGCTTATGTGTGAGTTTTGCATATCTTATTGGGTTAGTATAATATGACGATTGTGTAAGTTTTTGTCTCGATAAACTTTTGATAGGAATGCTTCTAAGGTTTTTAACCCCTCTTCACTTCTATCAATTACGGTTACTACTCATTAGGAGTTGCAAGTAAGAGAAAAAGGAAAAAGAAAACTTAATCACTCTAAGAATTGTTTTGCTTGCACATATCAAGAATTGTTTTGCTTGCGCATATCAATTACGATCACCCAAACAGGTATTCAATTTTGTTTGTTTAATTGTAGTGTCCTGATTACATCTTGGGTTAATTCTTACTTGCAAGACCATGTTGTTTGATGTTAGCCACAAACTTCCCCTGGGATTTTCCTGGCATTTCGCCGCCTCCAGCATTTTATCTTGTAATTTCAAGCAACAATGTCTAAGAAGTATAACTTTTTTATATGGTCAATAGAACTGAAATTCAAAACATGCAGCTCAACAGCCCAAGGCTCATACTCTTTAACTGCATTTTGGTTTTAGACATTACAAGGAGTTGGCTAGTTGATCTTGTGGTCCCAGTCAAAAGAACTACAAATCGTACATATTTTATTTAAGCAGAGCCGGTCTTGGAGGAATGAGGGTGAAACTAATGAAGTTACAATCGTTTTTTAGGAATAAATCAGTTTGATCTTTGCAATTATTAAAAATAAATCCATCGACTCGTTTAATTTTTTGAAAAAATCAATAATATTGATTATCAATTTTTTAAAACTGAGCCCTTCACCGATCTAGTGTTCATCTCTATTGTTTGAGATGGTATCTGACTGTATTTCTAAGCAATTAACCTATACTCTTCGTAGCCTACCTGCACTAGAAATCCAAACCCATCAAGCGGGCCAGACGATTCTAATCAAAGACCCAACCACAAAAAACTGGACGGCGGTCAGAATTTTATCCTTTACCGTTTTCAGATAAACCAACAATTTGTAAAGCTAACTTTACATACAGTACAAATAAAAACATTATTTAGTGAAGGGGTTGGCAGGAATCAAGTAGTCATTGAAACGAAACCCACACCATTAAAAAGTTCAATTGTCCAGATGGGTGTTCATGTAGCCATATTAAAAGCAGCTAGCTGTACAATGCAGAGTTACCGAGAATTATTTTAGATCAATGAGATAACATTAATTGTATAGTTGATCGATACCAACACAGACATGTTCCAAGGAGTTACAGATTGTCCAGTCAATATTAATTTGCAAAATCATATCCTTTAACATCAAAAACATGGAGAAATTATCAACTAAGTTTTCAACAAAAAGAAAATGATCAACAAAACTCTTAGAAGCAGAAAAGACAAACATATTCAAGGACTTATCATTCAAGCTCCAACAACCTCTGGTGTAGCCTCAGCCATTGCCTCATCAGCAGGCCTCTCTACTTTCCACACCAAAATCTCTGAGTAATCACCATGAACCTAAATAAATAGAAGAAAGATATTAATCAGGCACAAGGCAAAGACACTTTGATATCTTATTCAGCTATAAATACCAAGGCCACATGGAATATTTTCATTCAAAATGTTGTCAGGATGCAGGGAAAGACTAAGCAGAAAAGATATAAGAAACATACCTCCATCAACTTTCCAAGATCAAACTTGGGAGCCTTCAAAATTTTGACTTTACGAATGAACACATTCTGCAAAGGATAGATGCTAGATGTTGCCTTTTCAATTTCTTTTCCAATCATCTCGGGAATGAACTTTTGAACTAATTCCTTCAAATCACAGGATGATGCCTGGGCAGTCATTATCTCACTCATCTTTCGGCGTATCTGCAAAACAAAAGAAACTTCACTCAGTCACTCAGTCATCATGGGATTGACTGCTTCAGGAAAAGTACAACACACTCTGAATAAATGATCAGTGAAGTTTCAATATATATCAAGGTATGTGAGTCAAGAAAATTGTCACAAGAACTGAAAGTTTGGCAGAATATCAGAGTAGTACCTGCCTAATCTGGCTGGATTGTGCATAACAAGTCCTTTTAACCTGGTTTGGGCGCCTCTTAGTGAATCCAATGCAAAACATTCTCAAAGTATAATTGTCAGTTGTCTTCACATCCACATGAGCTTCAATTAGAGTTTGCCATTTACGCACCAAAGACCTCAGTTTGTCAGTTGTAAAATTCATTCCCTGGAAATTTGAAAAGGAAAGCAAAACAAATTTGTTCATTTATTATTACAAACAACACTGGAACAATGTTGTAAATAAATATTTTGGCCAAAAAAACAAATATATTTATATTTATCATACCCAGAAATTGGTCAAAACATTTTTTCCTTGAACATCTTCAGCTCTCAAACGAATCTTTCTATAAGCATGATCCTCATCGCCACCTTGAAGATCAGCCAGTGATATCTCAAACACACGGTGTTTGAGTCCTTCTGAAGCAATCTGTAATAAAATAGTCAAGTTCAAACTATTTATCTATATACATAGAGATTAAATTGTAACCGCATGTTAACGAAATGTAATAACCAGGTCTAAGTTCATTGTGCTGTACCTACATGCAAAATTAATTATTTTGAAGATTTTCTAACATCCACATAGAAAAATAGAAACAAACTCATGAAGTCACTTAAGCGGCTAAATAACAGAAGCTGACAAATGATACAAGACCAAAAAAAATAAGGAAAAGTAAGTTTAAGTTTCTCAACAAATGAATCCTTGAAAGATAATTGAAGAAATGAAATTGATTATAAGGCATTCAGGCTCTTTCTAGAATTCCAGGCTCTTTCTAGAGTTTCAGAAATTTAAGCATTCAGATGGCAAATAGATTAACCATATAACATATTAGGCTAGTAGAAGTTTAGTAGAAAAAAAGAAATGACAATTCAGCATTTCAGCTAAAAAAATATCAGGGTCCAACCAAACAACCTACTACAAAACCATGGTTCAGCTCAAACATGCAATTCCACATTTCATAAACAGGAAAAACAGCACATAGCATGAAAAATCAAAGTAAAATTAAGCATCCTTATCGTCATTCCGATAAAAGATAAAAGAGTCGTAGCACTAAGCCAGGTACGCAATGTACAAAGAACATGTACAAAATCCAGTTTCGCTCAGGTTCAAACTATACAATAATCTTATATATAATGCAAAACAAGCATTTTCAAAAGAGTAAAAGAAAATAAAGAATTAAAAGAAACAAACCTTGGTACCCTGAGTACGGGTAACAAGAGTCTTCCCCACATTTCTGGTAGTAAAAACTGATGGAGCTGATATCATACCAATCCTTCTGGCAAATGATCAGCTCATAAAAAAAAACAAACAAAAGACATCAACATCAACAAACAGATCCATCTACATAAAATACCCAATAATGAGATTAAGCTTAAAAAAAAAAAAAAAAAAAAAAAACTCACGCCTTCTTCTTTTCCTCCCTTCGTTTCCCTTGGAAAATCCTCTTGTTCTCCTTATATACAATACAAAGAAAGAAACCCAAAAAAAATTCAGTGAAAAAGAAAAGTAGCAAAACCCATTTGAAAAAATGAAGGAGAGGAAGATAAAGAAATAGTACCCGACGGCCATGGTTGAAGTTTTGCCGGTAGCTACGAAGTCAGTCTGTGCAGCAGCAGATGGCCGCTAGAAGCCTAACCCTTGTTCTATTTGTGTGTGGGAGACTTCAAATTCAAACCCTACTTTTATTGATTGGTTTATAACCAGCTCCTTGTGGATCGATTTTGGCTAATCGGGTTGCACTCTGAGGGTTTTGAGGCCTTTTTGGGTGAATTAGAGTTGGATTTGAGCAAAATTCTAGGCAGAATTGGACCTAAGTTCAATATTTGAGCCCACTATTCACTAATCATGCCTTTTCTTTCTCACGCAGTCAGGCCAACAAGCCCTACTTCTGTTTTTCTATAAATTTTAATATTTATTTTGGGAAAGAATATAAGTTTAATGTTCTTATATAGTAAATATCATAATTTTAAATACATATAATCATATAATATAAAAATAATATAAAAAATTATATATGAGTTTTGAAAAAATAAAAAATAAATATTTTATATTTGATGTATCAATATGATTTTTGATATTATAATTTTTTTATTTACATATATTTGATACCAAATAAATAAAATATAAATATATGAATTATCAAATTTAATTTCTAACCTTTTTCAAAAATGATAGAACACATGTATAAATTTTCAATCAATTTTATTGTCATATTTAAAAATTGTTATTGCTTGTTGTTTGAGTTGGTCAAGATGAAAAAACATTTAAAAATTTCTCGAACGCTAAATTTTAGTAAGAAACTTTTGATATTATATATTATCACACTATAAAATTAATATTCATAAATAAATTTTGTGCCGCGGAGGGTTGGATCAATTTCTTTAAGCATGTTTATACCCAAAGCATTCCAGCTATTTGGTTATACCAATTGCAACTAATTTGAGAAACCAAAGAAATAGCAAGGAAGATGGAGCAATTTACCTTTTGAAAATTCTTTGCTTTTGTGATTGAAGGTTTTATCGAGCATAAGAAGTTTTGTATTTCAAGCATTCAAAGTTTAAAGAAAAAAAAAATTAAAATTTAACTCAATTGATTCATATAATCACTTTTAAAATATAATATTTAATAAATTAATTTAAAATTTAAATTCTAATACTTCTAACTTATATTCTAATCTTTAAACTACGATCATTTTTAAAATAAAAAAAATTGTTGATGGTGAAATATCAAGAAAAGCTTCCATAACTTAAAAATTCTAGTAAGTAACAGGTGAGCAATACATACTTCATATAGATAATTCATGCAATTGAAATGCATATGAAAGATTATATTTGACGGGGTTAGTAATGATATTTTCATTTTTATCAATCAAAGGAGTCTAAATATTAAATAAAATTTTGAGATTTTATAAACATCTTGGCTAACAAAAATATTTTATATGAAGACAAATTTAAATACTTTACATTGTATGATTCTTATTACATCAAAAGAATTTCTTTTTTCCATTTTCTTTTGAATGAATGAATAAGTGTTATATCTTTTCTTTGGTTCTTTCTCATTTTAAAGTTTTTTCAAAGTCAGGGGCATATCTTAAATATTGAAAATTAAGAAAATTTGAAAAAAAAAAATTTGCACATCCTAAAATTTTAGATGAACAATCTCAAAGATTGAAATTAAAAAAAAAAATTGAAATAAAAACAACCTTTTACGTACAAAATTGATAAATTCACCCAAAAAAAAAAAATCCTGCATCTGTCACTGTTCAAAATATCAAAATTTTCCTTTAAAATTTTTGACAAACCCATTTATGTCCCTCATCAAGAGTAATAAGGTAGAATTATATTTTTTTTTAATGATTACATGTTAAATTTAAGATTAAATAAATCTATATCGTGTTGTTCATTCAAAGATCAAAGGTTTAATTAGTTACAATTTAGGATCTCAACTTTTCGAAAAGCAAACAATACCATGTGGGCTTATTTCTAATACTATTAATTTTTGTCCCCAAACTTTTTGAGTTCGGACCAATTAGCATATTCATCTAAGTTCTGCATCCAAAATTATTACTGTATTTTTTTTGAAACTTTTCTATTTTGATTAGTTATAAAAATATATTAATCATAATTTAGGTACTATTTTTTCCTACTTCGTCTCCTCACCTCTTTGGTTGAAAATGAGTCCATGATTAATATAAAAGGCAGCTCACCTCGATATGGATAAATATATATATATATATATATATATATATTATTGAAGATTGTATCTTGTTCTAGTTTTTTCTTTGGCCAAAACTTTTGTTTATTGAAGAATTATAATCTATGAAATATAAAGATAGACGTATAATATAAGTATGATATGATACGGATATGATAACATAATAATTTTAAGAAAATAAGACATGAATATGATAAGATATAGTAACAAAAATTATTTTTTTTATATTATAATTATCAGTTAAAAATATATGATAGATATTTGATTAACTTTTAAAAGATATTTATCTTTGTTAAAAAAAATTGATGATAAACATAATGATTAAAAAAATATAACGTCATTATCCACACGACAATTGTTTTTATTATTATTCTTTTTGCTTAGTTTTTGTCATATCTATCTAAGTTTCACACGTAATTTAAATATATCGCAAGTATCAAAATATTGGACACAAATATGATACGGGTCGTGAGGGGTTCAAAAGTGTCCTAGCTTCGTAGATTATAATACATTTCAAAAAGGTTCTTTTCTTAATTTATAACCAGTTAATCAGTTGGCTGTTGTTAAACAAGAGAATGTGGATTAGAAGACAAAATCAATTATTTGGAGGCATTTGGCTATGAAATATAGCAATGCAGAGAACGAGATGGAAACCTCAGTATCATTAATTATTCTCACCAATCCAGAAATGTGCATAAAATAGAAATTGGATGTTGCTTCTCGAAAGACAAATTGAGAAGAAAAATCCCGACTGTGCGTTTTAAATTTCCATACATGACAACATCAGCAAAATGAAAATAAATACTAAACTCTTTCTTTTTATACTGAACTTTGATTTGGTGGTCATGGCCAATGATGCACAGGTGGATAAGGTGGTGGTGATGGGCGAGGTGTACGGCTAGGTGAGCAGCCAATGATACTAAAATCAACTGGATGTGCATAGAAAGACTTGCATTCCATTGGTGATCTATGTAATGGCCTATAGGGAATACAATTCTTTCTATCATTTTTGGCACGTAACTTGAGGCATTTTGAAGGTTCCGAAGTGAAGAAATTGTTGGAGTAGGTGAAATTCTTCAGCTTAGGCAATGAACATACGCTCTCTGGAATATAAGCAGATAGTTCATTGTTTGCCACATTAAGCTGTTCCAAGCTCTTCATTTGCCTAATTGCGTCTGGCAAAGGCCCAACTAGCTTGTTAGAGCTAACATCAAACACTGTCACTCTCTTTAATGCACCAAGTTCTGGTTTCAAACATCCTGTAAATCCATTGTTCATGAAAATGATTTCCCGGAGATTTCCTGCCATTAGTACCAAACTTGAAGAAGGAAAGCAGCCTGTGAGGCCGCTACTTGCCATGACAATAACTGATACAGGAGAGTTACCGAAGTTTTCCGGTAAAGATGATCGAAAATTGTTGTTGTTAAAGAAGAAGGCATCTAGTTTCAGATTAAACAACTGTGAGAGGTTTGTGCCACTGAACTCATTGTATCTGATGTCAAGAAATTTGAGTGAAGGTAAATCAAGAACAACATAAGGGAACTCTCCATTAAATTGGTTATTACTATATCAATCTCATAAAGAAGGTTGAGTTTTCGAAAGCTTTCAGGTATCATGCCAGAAAAGTGATTGGAGTTTATGTGGAAAAGAGCAAGGTCAGTGAGGAGGCCAAGCTCTTCAGGTAAA